CCAAATTTTCCTAATCCTCACTACAAAATGGAAAAGTCTGGAGAAAGAACATTTCTATCAGATTCTGGTAGAGGAGCCCAAAGAGCTTACAACATTCACTATTGAAAGCAGGTTCCCATTTCTTCAGTGATCACAAAGTCATTCAACCACAGGCCGAGCAGATTTAGATATTCCTTATTTTAGCTCCAAATAAAAATGTACTATTTATCTGGCTTCAAAGTTTGAAGTTTTTGGTTTTTTTTTTTACATTATTTGAATGTGGGGACAAGTGAATTAGAGGAGGAAAATGCATGGAAAACTCATTGAAATAGAACCTCCTGGATTGAAATTCAAATCTGAGCACTAGTCACTGTATTGTTAAGGGTATGTCTGGAGTCTATTATTTGCTAAACTTTTCTACTGTAGCTTTTATATTTTCATGTAATAATATGTAGATGCAGGCATGAGCTAAATTTAATATTAGAAACCAAGATTAATTTCAACTAAGCTATATATGATCATAAAAATGTCATTTATCAACAGTGCCAAAGGGCACGTTATGTAGACAAATGAGAGATAGCTGCTGAAGCATACAAAAGGCTCCTCAATTAAGGGAACTGTCATACTCTCCTGCCTCTCAATCAATGAGAGTGTCAGAGATCATCTGAATAACAGAAAACCGAAAGCTTCCAATTTGTTTCCGGGTTTTACCTGTTATAGTGCTGCAGGGCCTCCCTGGTGTCGCAAGGGTTAAGATGCAACCTATGAAGCTATCCCCAACCTCTGCAGCACCATTTTGATCCGGCCAGGGAGCAACCCACATGGCGCAGCAGATCTCTCCTTTCTCACCCCCTGTATCCCTTAGCAGTGTGTTTCTGTAGATCCACCTGTTCTTCTCCCCACCCTGTCTCTGGTGAATCCTCTCACCCCCCACATCTCCGGCCTGTACCCCAGCTCTTGTATGCATAAATAAATCTTTAAAAAAAAAATTAGTGTTGCAATAAACATAGGGGCACTATGGGGACTACACCTGGGAGAGGGAAGGAATGCAAAGATTGTTTAAAAAAGAACAATGATGTGGGCCTCCCCGGTGGCGCAGCGGTTGAGCGCTGGGTTGCGAAGCTCCCCTCGGCCTCTGAAGCGCCAGTTCGATCCCTGGCTGCTCCCTGGCCACCGGAGGAGGGTCCCACATGGCGCGCAGACCTCTCCTGCCGCCCGCTGCTCCCCTCAGCAGTGTACTTCGGTCCTTCTGCCTGCTCTGCTCCCAGCTCTGGCTCTGGTGAATTCTCTCACCCTCCCACGCTTCTGACTGTACCCAGTGCTTGTATAAACAAATAAATAAATAAAATATGTGCCTCTTTAAAAAAGCAAAACAATGATGTAAAAAAAATATATATATACACACATATATATGTATGTATATATATATATATAAATTAAGTTCAAAAGAGAAAAAAATAAAGCTTCCAACTTGTAACCAGTCATTTCTATGGAAGAGTTCATAGGAAAATAGACCATGAAATATATATAGTTCATTTTGGCTGGTCAAGAGTTTTTTTTTTTTTTTAAAGATTTATTTATTTATGCATACAAGAACTGGGATACAGGCCAGAGGCGTGGGGAGGGGGGAGGATACACAAGAGACAGAGTGGGGAGCAGAATAGGCAGATTGACTGAAATACACTGCTGAGGGGAGCAGCGGGCGAGTCAGGAGAGGTCTGCTGCGCCATGTGGGTTGCTCCCTGGCCAGGGATCGAACTTGCACTGGCTGCACTGGCTGTGGATAGCTCCATAGGTTGCGTCTTAACCCCTTGCGCCACCAGGGAGGCCCCTGGACAAGACTTCTTCTTCCCCGTCACAAATATACTTGAACTCATAAATGGAAGCTTCTAACAAAACCCCTATGACTCATCTCATCCTGAGATGATTTGTCCCCTTTGAGAACTCACCTTGTGGAGCAAATCAGCATGGAAATAACCAAGTAAAATTTCCAGTTATACTATTTACTATCTATAATTGCATGTTTTTCTTAAGTTGTTCAATCAAATTCCTTTCTTGGTGATATTCCTGTGTAAAGGGAACATTAATAGCTCAGAAAGTTTGGTCAAAGCGCTGGAATAAGAATTAAGTCAAAGCTTCTTTAATCCACTTGTAAGAAGCGAGAAAGCAAATTTTAAATCATTGAGTATTGACTTTTTATTATTAGTCACTGTTCATAATTTGTTTCAACCAAAAGACAATACACACAGCAGAATTCTAATGCATCCCATGTGAATGTTTACATCCATTTTATTCCTCACTCGCCTCTAAGACTTATCATTTAATTTTAATTTTTTTTTACATCTCAAAAATATGTCTGCAATAATTAGAACTTCATTAGCCGCCCCGCTTGGAAACAGCCTTTTAATATTTTTACAGTAAAGAAGATGTGATAGGGCTTAATGAAAATGTAACTTCCAACATTATAAAAGAAAAGGGACTTTACAGGGACACAGTGGGAGTTCACAAAGGAAAGAATTCAGAAGCTCTTTCCCATGAGGCCCCAAATAGAAAACAAAAACAAAACACACAAAGCGCAACAGCAGGTTCCAAAAACGAAAACAAAACAAAAAACTCCAATGCTCCATCTGAAGCCAGAATCAGCCTCGCGGAAACTCATGAAGCAATTGCATGAGCCCCTTCAGCATTTTCTTCCGTTTGTTTAAGGGTTCCAGGTCCTGGATCCCTGTAGATGGAACCCACTCACTGCTATTGCTTGAAAAAGTTATTCACTTCCAGTTCTACAAGCAGCCCCACCCTTCTAAGCAAAATCTGGTCAAAGTGTTTTAAACTTCAGGACATAAGGATCAATTCTCCCAGACTCATGAGTACACAGACATGCACCACCTCTCCATCAATGCAAAGTTGGTGAAAATCCACTTTGTTGCTCTCTAGCTCTCTCTGTTTAGGACAACATGAATAAAAGACATTCACTAGGAAAAAAAAACCTATATATACATTCGAAATCTTTTCTTCCTCTAGTTCTCATGGCCTACATAGTTGCCGATGCAGAAGATAATGAACTTGAACCTCAAAAACAGTATCCTCTAACTTCCAATCTCCTCTAGAAGAACATAAAAATGGAAAGCTTATTAGGGAGTTGGTGGAAATACTCAAACCGTTAGTGCCGGACAGTTTCAAAAGTCTATATTCTTCTGTGAATGGGGCAAACAAGAGGTACGAACCACATCTTCAACCTAGCAAAAGGAAAGAATCCCCTCCCAAGTGTTACATTGTGGAATGTTTCTTTAAATGAGAAAGACTTTAAAATCAACAAATGAGCATTACACACAGCATAAAACATTCCATGACTTCCAAATCACCTCAAGGTAACAGCACCAGAGCATTATGGGAGAAGCTTCTTGGATGGAGCTCCCTTCCTGCAGCTGTTTGAGATCACTCAGATGAATTCTCCCTTGGGATTACTGGGAAAGGAGGGGAGGGTATAGGACACAGACCACTCTGGAAGAGGAGGGGAAATGAGGTAAAAGTGCATGTGAAATTGTCCAAGTACACACATAGGCTCACTGCTTTTCATCCTGGAGTTAGCTCATAATGGCTCTATAGTTTGGAAATCTATCCAAACTTGCTCCCCCCTTCATGGTTATGCTAGGGAAAGAACTGAAATGTGCAAGTATTCCTAGAAATTAAGAGATTTCTCCTTTTAGCAGCAAGGCCAAGTGACAGGAGAACGAATTCTGATCCTAGAAACTAAGGCACGCTGACGCTTTCAAAGATCCAATCATTTGAAACAGTCTTCACAACCATCAGTATCCTAGGCAGTTATGGCCGCTAGTCCTTTAGTACGGTGCCCCAAAATCACTTGATATTCTATGCAGCACCCTTTGTGTTAAGGCCATGATTTTTATTCCTTCTAGACAAAGCTACAGAGGGTCACAGATAAGTCTACCTCAAAACTACATCACCCAAGAGGATGCTGTGTTACTAGAGCAGGCCCTTTCCGGCTCCACGAGCTTGCTGGCGCTGTCTATTATGGTCTTCAGCAGATTTCTCAGATTCAACTCAGTACAACTGAAAAGAAACTTGAGCTGGTTAACTACAAACATGAGAGAGAAGATAAAGACTCTACCACAGAGGAATGTTAGACAAATTCTATTCAAGAAATCCACCAGTATTATGTTAATCCTATTATGTTTCACAGCATTAAGTGTCCATCCAATGAAATCAGTCCACCAGGAAACCTTTAAAGGCTATTTTTCATTGCACAGGCAGAGCAGTTGTTGGAAATACAGACTAGTCCATATTTATTTTACTGAAAAATATGCAGAAGATAATATCCTGTTCCTGACTCAGTCAACCATTTACTCAGTAGAATTAAATTTTAGCAGATCTTGCTCTTACATATTCATAAGACCAGAATGATTCCGCTTTGGAGCCTTTAGATTCAACTCCAGTTTTGTCAAATGTTAGGAATAGTCTAGCATCTGATACAGAGCTAGATTTGACAAGACACTGAAGATTTTAAGTAAAGGCTCGGTGAAAAGGGGGCGGGGGGAATGGATATTTATACCCAGATTTAAAACGGAAACCAAAGTGGTCCGTATACTGCACTCAATACAGTAATGACTGTTAACATTTTAAGAGCAGGGTGGGCTGGACTTTTCCTTTCTTCTTCAGTGTCTCAGACATGGCGCCTGCGTGCCTGAATGTACATGGTACATTCGGCACGGGCCACAGAGACTCACCTTACCTCATTCCAGCAACTCTATGCTAAGGTTTGAAAACACAGAGGGTCCTTTCTAGAAACCACTGGGCACTCTCCCTAGATTAAAGAGCTCCAGATCGCAAGTCTTTGATGCGGATATTCATGAGATTAGATTAGCCTCTCTCAAGAGAACCGTTTCTCAAAACTCAGGAAAGGATGATCCTAGCCTTATGGTGTTCGCAAGACTTCCTGTGACTTGGGGGCAAGGAAGCTACAAGGCTTCATTCCAACACCATAAAGTACAATATAGGAAAGATTTCTTTAACCGTGTGGTCTTTATTTCAGTGCCAGTGTTACAGATACAACACAAATGTTCCAGTTAGAAGAAGGAATTCAAACGGAATGCCGAGGTCCGAGCCAGGCTCAGGAAAGAAAAAGGGCGGTTTGGAGTCATGGAGCAGACGACTCCAAGATGCTCGAGGATGAGTGCGATACTCACTCTTCCTACGGGCACCGGCGTCTGAGCTTTGAAAGCGGTGAACTCTTCTTTCCGCCCACTTACCAGAGTTCAAACAGGCAAGTTATGGGCTTAGGACAAACGTGAAAATCTCTGGTGGGAATAGGGGCATTAATTAGTGACTATTCATTTATCTTTTAGCAGCTGTCCACTTCGTACTTTAAGGGCAATCAATTTTGAAAACGTTGGAAAATATTCATGACTACAGCTAAAGAATGGCGAGAAAGGGGAGCTGGAAGAGCCTTGGAAGTTTCTATTACAAATAGAGCACCATATCCTTCATGCCAAATCTCAACAAAAACTCTTTTTAACTGCATCTGTCCAGTGTTTACAAATAATCTCTCAAGGTCTGACCAGTTCTTGGTAACAAACATACATACATGTGTGTGTCTGTGTGTATACAGCAATGCACAGAAAAGGCTACTAGGAGCCTAATGCCTCTTTCAAACCTCGGGGGAACCAGGAGAAAAAGGCAGGGCTCCCTGATGTCCATTGTTACATTTCCATTCTGAATGCCAGATGTAAGAAGCGCCTGAAGATGGTGACCAGCCAGAGGGGAACAAATTCCCCACCTCGCCCAGTTCACAGAGAAACACAGTAGAAAGAAGGGGCGACTCTTTGCTGCAGAGACAGAGTGAGTGTTTTCTTGCTGTGGATTCCAGTCCTCTCCTCCAGACCAGCTGCTTATTTCCTCAGGGCCCAGGAATGTTGATTCTGGCTGTAAAGGTGGGAGGGGTAGAGAAGTGCGAAAAAAGGAGAAGAGGAGGAAGAGTGCAAAGTAGCCTCCCGAGCAGCCGGCCTCAACAGTGGAGGAGAGGAGATTAGTCTTTAACAACGCTTCAAGGTCAGCAATAACTTTAGGAAAATCCTCCTCAACAGCTCTCTTCAGCTCCTCATGCCCATGGTACAGTTGGGGGGGACTTGCCAGCGATCACAACCTCCTTCCCAGAGTTCCTTTGATTGAGTGGGATAAGAATGAGAATGGTGTCGGAACCTCATTGCCAGGACTGAGGGGGAAAGTTGTTCACCTCCGCTAGATCTTGCATTGCTGAGCCCTTGTGATTATATGTGAGCTTGATCCGCATTCGCAGCTGTTGCTGTGAGAAGAAAGATCATAAATTAATGGCTAAAATTAAAGCTCTAGAACCTGTTAAAGTGAAGTTGTCTCTTAAAAATGACACATAGGAAACAACAAAAACCACACAGGACCTCCAGCTATTAATCGAGGGACCAACACCACGCAGTCAAGTAGCAGAACTGCATCCCCAGAACACAGCTATCTCCTCTGGCTTTGATCCTAGAACTACACTGAAAGGACTGCACCACTCTGGAGCATTTTCTAGTAGCATATGCTGAGGGCTTTTCAAAATGTTTCGACCCTTGTATCCAAGTTTCCAGAAAAATGAGGTAAATATACTCCTATTACAGGCTCTACATTCAGATCTAGCTAGCATTGCTTTGTTTGTAAAACCTACAGTAAATGTGAAAACAAACTTGTTTCATTCCCAAGGCATGAAAGGGGGGGTAGGGAGGAAAGTATAAACTTACAGAGAACAATACCAGGCCTAAGAGATCTTAATTATAAATACATTTTTACTCTATGTGGCAAATTTCAAGCATTAATACACTAAGAAAATTTTTACTCTATGTACCAGACCATCAACAGAATTTCTGTTTGTGTTATAGCCAGATACTTAAAATATAGTGAGCAGCAGAAGAAAAGCAAGAAGAGGTAATTATACTCACTAATAATTATGAGACATACTAGAAATCTTTCAAAGTGAAGAAATTCTCTGAGCCATTTTCAAAATCTAGCCAAAGTGATAACTATTAAGAGGAGTAAATTTACTTCTTTGACAAAATGAAATAAAAAATATTGCTTAATTTCCGTTTCTAAAGCTATTTTTCATTTGGCTGCTTCATTAAAAGTGTCCCCACTTTTGCTATAATAATTACAGTACTAATGTGGCTATTTGGTTGAACGAATGTTCTTACCCCAGAACGTAATTTGTTTAAAGATAAAAATGTCCCCTTCTCTCCCCCCACAAAAAGAAAATAGACACACACAAAAAATAGACCTTTAAGCCTCTGAATAGAGGGTTTTTCAAGCTGCATTTTAATAAGATACCACTAACCCATTTAATGTGTCTGGGTCTGCTTATTACCTATAAAAGAACAAGGAGACATTTTCATAGATCTCGTCTATGACTATGAGTCAGAGAATTCCAGAGAAACAAAGCTAAGTTTTCTTTCAGGAAATGCACTTACACCTTGCTCAGGCCTGTCTTCCAGTGTGCTACTCACCTTCTGTGGGTTCAGCACTTTAATGACTTGTGTGACAGTCCCTGTATTAAATGCTGGGACAATGCTGCTGCTAGGCGACAGGAGCTGCAGCTGGAATGTCTGGGGGAACAAAGGGCATGCTTCAGAAAAAGTACTGCACTTAATGCTATCTCAGCGATGTCCACAAAAAATAATCTGACACCCAGATCATGGCTCAAGTAATAGATTTTCCTCCTCCTACTTTCAATTTTTTTCCAGATATCGCAATTCATAGTATGTGGGTTGACCATCACTTCATGTTATTTATAAAACCCCATTGTTTGTCTTTGATCATGAAAACTAGCAATGACCCAATCTTCCCTTTCTGGCAGAAGGAACTTTAGCCTACCATGTTCCAAAAGGTGACCAATTCTTGCTTTGGCAACTTCATTTAATAGTAACTGATCAACTATGCAGGTAAAAAATACAGTACCCATGACAAAAAAATAAAAAAGGCTAGAAAGAAACAAAAGAAAAGTAGTTTTCTAAAAATAACAAACCAGCATACCAGTTACCAACTACAGGCCTCAATACTTTCATGTGTTTGGATGGCTGGGATCCAAAAACTTGAACCATAGATTGTTAGCACTATTCTATGCACTACGATTATTTATTTATTTATTTATTTTAAAAGATTTTATTTATTTATACAAGCAGTGGGGTACAGGCCAGAGGCACGGGAGGGTGAGAGAACTCACCAGAGACAAGAGTGGGGAGCAGAACAGGCAGACAGACCGAATGCACTGCTGAGGGGAGCAGTGGGTGGGCGAGACAGGAGAGGTCTGCCATGCCATGTGGGTATCTCCCTGGCCGTCTAGGAATCAAATGGTGCTGCAGAGGCTGCGTACAGCTTCACAGCACTGTGCTCAACCCTCTGTGTCATCAGGGAGGCCCTGCACTAGGATTTTTTAAATTCTGAAACTTCAGTTTCTGAATTATTATTTTTTTTTTTAAATAGAGGCATGTTTTATTTATTTATTTGTTTGTTTGTTTTGTTTATACATGCACTGGGTACAGTCAGAAGCGCGGGAGGGTGAGAGAATTCACCAGAGCCAGAGCGGGGAGCAGAGCAGGCAGAAGGACCGAAGTACACTGCTGAGGGGAGCAGCAGGCGGCAGGAGAGGTCTGCGCGCCATGTGGGACCCTCCTCCGGTGGCCGGGGAGCAGCCGGGGATCGAACAGGCGCTGCAGAGGCTGCGGGCAGCTTCGCAACCCAGCGCTCAACCGCTGCGCCACCGGGGAAGCCCAGTTTCTGAATTATTAATGAGAGAAGGGAGAGGTAAAAGAGCAGAAGAGAGAAGAAAGGAGGGAGTTAAAAAGACAAGGGGGGGCCTCCCCTGGTGGCGCAGGCAGTTGAACGCTGCGCTGTGAAGCTATCCACAGCCTCTGCAGTGCCGGTTCAATCCTGGCTGGACAGCAAGGGTCCCACATGGCACAGCAGACCTCTCTGTCACGCCCACTGCTCCCCTCAGCAGTGTATTTCATCAGTCTGCCTGTTCTGTTCCCCGCTCTGTCTCTGGTGAAACCTCTCACCCTTCTGCGCATCTGGCCTGTACCCGGGTTCTTTTATAAATAAATAAATCTTTAAAAAATTTTAAAAAATAAATAAAAAGAGAAGGGGGAAAGGAAGAAGAGAAAAAAGAGGGAGAGTGAGGTCTATCTAGTCTTACCTAAGGCCAAAAATTGCAAGAATGGAGATGTAATCTCAATGCACAAGACTTATGATTTTAGGTCTTACAGTTTTACTGTCAAGATAAATTACGTACACTGAAATATTTATTTACATTTATTTTATCACATGTGAAATGCTGTGAATTGAAATGAACAATATTATCTTATCTATCACTGAGGCTGCCAATTAAACTATGACAAGTCTCTAACTGCATGCCCCAGAAGTGCCATCTTCTAGTAAACTGCCCAAATGACCACACAAAGGGAAAGAGGAGAGGCACTGGCTGTGTGTTCTCTAGGCTCTTCAGAAAATAGGGAGTCATTTCTTTGTTCATGTATTCAAAAAAGGTGATACTGCAGACATCAAGGGGATAGGTACGATTCAAACGGGAATGCCACATGAATGTTACCATGGCAAAATGGAAGAGTCAATGTTACCCAGTATGCAGTTGGCACTGTTGTGAACAAGGGCAAGATTCTTGCCATGAGAATTAATATTCACAATGAGCAGATTAAGTATTCTAAGAGCAGATATACCTTCCTGAAATATGTGAAAGAAAATAATCAGAAAAAAAAGGAAGTGAAAGAGAAAAAGGTACTTGGATCCAACTGAAGTGCCAGCCTGCCCCACCCAGAGCAGCACACTTCGTGAGAACCAATGGTAAGGAGCCTGAGCTGCTGAAATCCATTCCCTATAAATTCACAGCATGATAGTATGAAAAAAAATAACAGGAGACCTGTGGACTATATAAAGAAAGTACTTCAATTTTAGATTATGGTCAGTAAACATAGGCCATGGTAGAATCTATAAAATATGACATTTCATTATGAAGTTCAAGATACATCATTAGGATATGCAAATACCCATTGTACAGTAGAGTACCAAGAACAAAACCTTTTTTAAATAAAAGAGATGATGTGTTGCTAGGACAGCAGCCTAAAACAACACATATAAAACCCTAAGCTGCAAATTCTAACATTTAGAGCGTTGAACACATGAAAAGTGCTTAAAACAGCACCTACCACATAAAACACAATTGTTCCCCAAAGGAACACTATGAAGTAGATATCATTACCATCACCACCCTTCGCAAATGAAGAAACACAGAGGTTAAGAAACTTGCTTAATAGCATACAAATGATACTGAAACTACTTCACTCTACTACTTCCAACACACCTGCATTATTCTGGCTCCTAAGAAATGCAAGTAAAGAAGGTTGCAAGTCAGCACCAGCCACAAATTAAAGGTCTTCCATTTCCCAAAGTGCACTGTCTGAATGCCATACTTACTTACACGTCACTGCAAAGATTACATTTGTTTAGCCTAACTTGGGGTTGGCAAATATGGCCCATGGGCCAAGGATAGCCACCCATTTTGTAAGTAATGTTTTAATGGAAGACAGTCACACTCATCCATGTATATATACTATGTTTTTATGTTATAATAGCAGAACTAAGTACATGCAACAGAGACCATACAGCCTAAAATACTCTTTGTATTTACAGAAAGTTTTTCCCTACTCACTTTAAATCTTTTTTTAAAACTTCTTTCTTCAAAGATGTACATAAACACTCCTTAAACTAGATTTGATATAAACAAAACCTCAATTTATAAAAATAAACAGTCATTATATCAACAGCAAACTAGATGTTAATAAAGGAGGAATGTTTCTTTCACTTATCTATCAAGAGATAAAAACTTTTAACTCTGATCCAGTGACTAGATTGCCAAATAGATCAAATCCCTCATCCTGACAAACCTTAACCCATACTAGAATATGTGTTCTTTTTGCTCTATATCACCATGTTACTTAACTCAACTTATTTTCTGTATCCTGAGCATTAAGGGACCACATTGTAGAAGTTTGCTCTTACCAACATAGTATTTCTGACCAAATGAAAAGTATTCACTAAAATGACAAACTTCAGTAAACCATACTAGGTACATTATTGTTATTCTGAATTAAATCGCAAACATTAAAATATATCCCTTGCCAAATGCATTTAAAAAAAAAAAAAAAAAAGGAAAAATGAAAGAACACATTGTAGCACCTTTGGTACTGCAGCCTGGAAAACAAAGTCTGTCATGTCCAGCTCTGTGCTGTTGGAGGCCTGTATCGTTATCACTGTGACACTGGGGTTGGTGTTTGACCGTTCAAAGGTGAATTCTATCTTCAAGCCATTCTTACTGTATGCCGTGATGGAGGGGATACCTAAGAAAGCACAGGAAGATCAGTTTAACTGTAGTCAGCCTACTGCTTGTAGAATTATTACTCCCTTTATTCAGTAATTCCCTCTCTTGCTCTAAAAAGGCAACACCAGTGATCTTACCTGTAGAGATGTCATTGAAGAGAGGCTGTGATGAAAGTCCATCCAACAAGAAAGGGGGCTGGGATACCTGTGGGACTGAGGCAGGGGAAGGAGCAGCAGCTGGAGCACCTAAAGGAAACATTTCAACAAAAGGTCAGTCTTTAGCCAGCACAACAAAATTCACCAAGAAAACATTTCTTTTTAAAAGATTTATTTATTTATACAAGAACTGGGGTACAGGCCAGAGGTGCGGGAGGGTGAGAGAATTCACCAGAGACAGAGTGGGGAGCAGAACAGGCAGACGGACCGAAAACACAGCTGAGGGGAGCAAGAGGTGAGACAGGAGAGGTCTGCCGTGCCATGTGGGTATTTCCCTGGCCAGCCGGCCGGCCATCAAACCCGTGCTGCAGAGGCTGTGGACAGCTTCACGGTGCTGTGCTCAACCTGCTGCGCCACGGGGGAGGCCCCAAGAAAACATTATAATCTCACGCTAAGGGAAGGAATTCTTCAAGAAGGTATAAAAAATATAAGTCATAAAGGCAAAGAACTAAAAAACACCACAAAAATAGAAACCACAGGCAAGATACAGTGTTTGCTATACAACAAATGGATGAGTATAAAGAATTATAAATATGATCTATAAATTTAAAAAACTCAATTTAAAAGTGATGAGAGATATGAACAGAAAACATGAAAAGGGACTTGAATGAAAATGTAATCTTATGAAAAGATACTCAATCTTACCATATGAAGGGAATTTATGAAACACAATGAGGTATTATTACACACCATCAGAAAGGTGAAAATTTCAAAATGTGGTAATACTAGAAACTATTAAGAATTCAAAGCAACAATGGCTTTTTAGCTCTGGCATAAGAATGTAAACCTGTATAAACAAACTGTAGAACAATCTAACAATAGTAGAGTTGAACATGAGCATGCCTCTTAAGTTCCTCAACCTCAAAACTAATAAAATGTTAGACTAGATAATTCTTTGTTGTGGGTGCTGTCTTGTGCATTGGATTATATTTAGCAGCATGTCTGGTTTCTACTCACTAAATGATAGCAGCATCCTCCTAGTTAGGACAATCAAAAACATCTCCAGATACTGCCAACCACCCATATGCAAAATTTCTTCCAGTTGGGAACCATTATCTTTCTTTTTTTTTAAATAGAGGCATGTTTTATTTATTTATTCATTTGTTTGTTTGTTTGTTTATACATGCACTGGGTACAGTCAGAAGCGTGGAAGGGTGAGAGAATTCACCAGAGCCAGAGCAGGGAACAGAACAGGCAGACTGACGAAACACACTGCTGAGGGGAGCAGCGGGCGGCAGGAAAGGTCTGCGCGCCAAGTGGGACCCTCCTCCGGTGGCCGGGGAGCAGCCAGGAATCGAACCGGCACTGCAGAGGCTGCGGGCAGCTTCGCAAGCCAGCGCTCAACCGCTGCGCCACCGGGGAGGCCCGATTATCTTTCTTAAGAATGCTTTAGAAGACAAAACTTGCAAACTGATCATGGATCTGTGGCATACAACAGGGGAGGAGGAGGAAGAAAGATCAAAAGTGGGGAGGGAAGAGCACAAGGGACTACGGTGATGGATCACAGGGGAGAGAACTATAGGGACTACACCTGAGGGGAGAAAGTAAATAATGTACAAAAATGAACAATGATGCAAGAAAATAAATAAATTTAATTAAAAATAATTTTTAAACCATAAAAAAGGAATGCTTTTGACTAATTCTTGCATAGTACACACAGAGACACACAAAGGTGTTACACAGCATTATAGTTTCTAACAGACAAATACAGGAAACAACCAAAATGTCCATCATCAAGATAATGCATGAGTAAATTGTTACATATTGACAAAATTAAACTATGCATAATAGTAAAAAATGTGATTGCACTAGAAATACACTTAACATGACTCATTCTCCAAAAATACAATGTTTACCTAAAAAATAACAAGGTGCAAAAGAACACATTCAGTTGGGTAACACTTCTAAAAATGTAAAAATTGGTGAAATAGTACTACATACTCTATTAATTGGTGAATAGAACAACTGAGGAATGGCAGACACAAAATTTAAGCACTGATTTAGGATAGAGAGCAGTTACCGGAGGGAAGAAATCATCAGATTACAATACTTAACAGATCCTTCCAAGTACGTACAAGTTGAAGAGCATACAATAGAAGGTAAGTCATAGAGTATGACCATGAACTGAGAGAAATCAGGATTCTAAGAGGTATGCAAAATTCAGCAAAATAAATAGAATGTATTTTATGTTTAAACAGATTTTCAAACTACTTATGAAATTAACTGAAAATACACTATTTTTAAAAACATTTCTAAGGTGAAAAAAAGGAAGACTAAGATATCTTTTAAAAACTTGAGCACAGGGCCTCCCTGGTGGCCAAGGGGTTAAGCACCGCACTACGAAGCAATCCGCAGCCTCTGCAACATGAGTTCTACCCTGGCCAGCCAGGGAGCAACCCACATGGCAAAGCAGACCTCTCCTGTCTCGCTCGCTGCTCCCCTGAGCAGTGTATTTCAGTCAGTCTGCCTGTTCTGCTCCCCGCTCTGTCTCTGGTGAATTCTCTCATCCCCCCCTGCATCTCTGGCCTGTACCCCAGCTCTTGTATGCACAAATAAAATTTTTTTAAAGGATTTATTTATTTATTTATGCAAGCACTGAGTATAGTCAGAAGCGTGGGAGGGTGAGTGAACTCACCAGAGCCAGAGCGGGGAGCAGAACACGCAGAAAGACTGAAGTACACTGCTGAGAGGAGCAGCGGGCGCGGGAGGAGAGGTCTGCGCGCCATGTGGGACCCTTGCCCGGTGGCCAGGGATTGAACTGGCGCTGCAGAGGCCGCGGGCAGCCTCGCAGCCCAGCGCTCATCCGCTGTGCCACCGGGGAGGCCCCACAAATCTTTTTTAAAAAATAAAAAAAATAAAAACTTGAGCACACTAGAAAAAAATGACACTAAAATCAGCAAGGAAGGTTAGCAAGAAATACAGATGGTTAAACATAAGATTTTTAAAACAAATGTGAACAGCACAATACGTGCAGCTGAACACATGACCAACGAGGTATACAAAGAAATATTCACAGAGTTGACCTAGCTTAAATAATCTCATCTAGCAATCTTCCAATGATTCCCATTTATAAAACAATTTTAGAAACGTGTTCCCATAGGAAATCAGAAACTACATATGGGTCCTAAGTCCCTCAAATTTTAGTTTTTTTCTCATGAAAAGTATAATAGGTAGTTTCAGGAAACAACAGAAACTTCCTGCTCCAATTCCTCCAAAGGCACATGCTCAACTTCCACTGATTTAAATTACCATGTATTAGGATGTCACTGTAAGATGGGTTAAGGAATCTAGGACTCAAAAATTAACTTACAGATGTAAAGAAAAATGGGAAAGTACATTTAAAACACACTGTGAATAAGGAAAGGAAAATCTAAGCTTTTAAAGATTTTTATCATTTTGCCTCTTATAGTCTTATTTTTTTTCCATTTCTATTTATGTGTTGATTTTTATTTTACATTTACTTATTTTCTTATATTGTTCATTTTTGTACAATATTTGACTTCTCCTTTCAGGGGTAGTCCCTGTAGTATTCCCGCCACTACAGCATCTGTGACCCATCACCATAGTCTACCCTGTTTTGACCCCTATCCCTCTTCGTCCCCTGCTGTATGCCTCAGATATATTGTCAGTTTACAAGTTTTGTCTTTTTCCTGACCCTTTGTTCTTTTTCTCTATATTTCACAGGCATATGAAAAAACATTCAACAGCACTTGCTATGAAGAAATGCAAATGAAATCCACAATGAGAAACTACCTCACCTCAGTGAGAATGGCAGGAAAAAAAAAACTTAGAAACAGTAAGTGCTGGAGAGGATGCGGAGAAAAAGGAACCCTCTTACACTGCTGGTGAGAATGCCAACTAGCTGAACCACTACGGAAAAAGCCGCGTGGAGGTTCTTGAAAACACTAAAAATGGATCTACCACATGACCCAATGATTCCACTCCTGGGTATCTACCCCAAAAGACACAACAACATTAATTCCAAGGGAAACGTGCAGTCCTATCTTTATTGCAGCACTATTTACAACAGCTAAGATATGGAAACAACCTAAATGCCCCCAAATAGATGATTGAATTAGTAAGATATGGTATATATACACAATGGAATATTACTCAGCAATCAAAAAAGATAAGCTCATGCCATTTGCGGCAACATGAATAGAACTGGAGGGGATTATGCTAAGCAAAATAAGTCAGAAGGAAAAAGAGAAATAGCAGATAGTTTCAATTACAGGTGAAATTATATAGTCTTTTATATAAGCAAATAGGAAGGAATAAAAAACAAACCTATATATTAAGAGCCCATGACAAATGCATTAAGGATATAAAAGGAATATGCAAACAGGAAATGCATGTATAATACAGATATGTGGATAAATATTAAACATTCCCTGTGATTAGAAATAAAAATTAACATAATAGGCCAATCTTTCACCTGCTTAGGCTTTTCAAAATGATAATATACGATACTTATGACTGTACAATGAAACTGGAAGCCATATACATTGAAGAAAGGTAAATAACATTTATGATTTACAAAGCACCTACTATATGTCATACAATCACTTTCCTCATAAATACCCTGTGAGCTAAGTATTTAACATCCTATTTTAAACAGATTCAGGAAGACTAAGTTACTTAGCCTAAGAAAGCAATTCAAAATAAGGAAAAACTGACATAACCAAGTTATCTGTTAAGGTGTTAGTTATAAAACACTGGAAACACACAAAATGTCCAAAAGTAATGAATCGAGTAAATAATGTCAAACTTCTAGATAAGATATTAGAAAACCACTTAAAATTATAATTATAAATAGTACTATGTACTATGGAAATGCTAATATGTTTAGAAGCATATCATCTACACACTAAGTTTTATAATAGCTATGAAGTTGTTTTTATTTTGGCATCTGAGGATTTGAAACTGTCTATGAATGACTCCAAAGTACATGACAAATAACATTTTGAAATTTTGTTAAGACATAAAATCTTAACTCTGGGAGGATGCTGAAGTTGAAAACAATCTTTGAGGTTCTATTCTTCTTTCTCACTTTACCATTTCTATCACTTGCTAGATTGACATGCTAGAAACTCAGTGTAGTTTTTCCCCAAGGTCTTTATCCCAATCCATGCATTAAATAACTCCTGTCTGGCCTCACCTGTAAGGTTGATGTCTCCCAACAAATCAAGAAGTTCTCCACCAGCAGAAGCTGGTTTGCTTGTAGGTGCAGTTGGAATAACAGGTGTTAAGTCATTTCCTCCCAACAAATCCAACAAATCACTGGCCTAAACAGGGAAATAATATCTCAATTCATTAGTCATTTGTCTAATGTATATCTAATGCAAAATTCTCCCAACACATACAAATAAGGAAGAGAAACATCAATCCAACTAGGAACACTAAAGGGAATAAACTTACAGACATGTTAGAGGGAACTGTAAGGTCATCAGGAACCCTGGATAAGCAAGTGAAAGGCTACCTGGTTGGTAGGCTGTGGCCCAGAGGGTGGCGGCTTGGTCTCTAGTGGAGCTGGTTCTGTCTCTCCATTTGTCTGCACAATTTCAGTAGGGCCATTTGTGGTCACTTTTTCCATGACTGGCATTCTCTCAAGCAGGGCAGACCTGGAAGAATCTGAAGTGGTTAAATTCTAGGCAGTTAACCTAGATTCCCTACCCAAAACTATCACTATAATTATACTGGAGTCAAAAATGGAGAGCTAGGACTCCCCGGAGGCGCAGTGGGTTGAGTGCCGCGCCAGGCTGTGAAGCTGTCTGCAGCCTCTGCAAAGCGGGTTCAATTCCTGGCCGGTCAGGGAGATTCCCACATGGTGCAGCAGACCTCTCCTATCTCACCCACTGCTCCTCTCAGCAGTGTATTTCGGTCTTTCTGTCTGTTCTGCTACCTGCTCTGTCTCTGGTGAATTCTCTCACCCTCCCACGCCTCTTGCCTGTACCCCAATTCTTGTCTAAATAAATAAATCTTTAAAAAAAATTATGAGAGGGGGCCTCCCGGTGGCGCAGTGGTTGAGCGCTGGGTTGCGAAGCTGCCCGCAGCCTCTGCAGCGCCGGTTCGATTCCCGGCTGCAACCCGGCCACCAGAGGAGGGTCCCACATGGCGCACAGACCTCTCCTTCCGCCCGCTGCTCCCCTCAGCAGTGTACTTTGCTCCTTCCGCCTGCTCTGCTCCCCGCTCTGGCTCTGATGAATTCTCTCACCCTCCCATGCTTCTGACTGTACCCAGTGCTTGTATAAATAAATAAATAAATCTTTTAAAAAAAAAAAAATTATGAGAGGAAACCAAATTATAAAAAAAAAAATAAAAGGAGAGTATCACTCCTTTCAACCCCCAACACACAGACTAAAAGAGAAGGCAGATTACAAGAATACCTGACCTAAATTTCCATTTGGATTAAGGACAAGCAAGAAACCTTGAATGGACAAAACTGTCAACCTAAATCCTGAGAGACTGAGATTTCTCAGTGATTAGAGTATCAGAAAAATAAATTAGTAGGTTGGGCCTCACTGGTGGCTCAAGACGTTAAGTACCGAATGCGGTGAAGCAATGAAGCAATCCGTAGCCTCTGCAGCACGAGTTCGATCCCTGGCCAGACAGGGACAGGGAGCAACTCACATGGAGCAGCAGACCAATCCTGTCTTTCCTGCTGCTCCCCTCAGCAGTGTACTTCGGTCAATCTGCCTGTTCTGATCCCCACTCTGTTTCTGGTGAATCCTCTCACCCCCCACCCCACGCATCTCTGGCCTGTACCCCAGCTCTTGTATGTATAAATAAATAAATCTTTTAAAAAATAAATAAATAAATTAGTAGGTTTTAGTCTCCAATCAAGGAGATGCTACACAATAGAAGGGGGCAAGTGACATACACCAAAATGTTAATAGGAATGGTATTTGAATTAGATTCTCTTAAAAAACTACAATTCCTGCTGAGTAGCCAAAAAAAATGGAAAATGAAGCAAAATTTCCAAAACAAAGGGAGAGAAGGGGAAAAATACAGTTAACTTATTTCATCATCAGCTAGGTAGAAGGACAAAACAGAAATAGCCAAGCAATCAGAACTAAATTGAGTTGTGAAGTCAGTTAATAAAGCACAGGGGGTAAGTATCCTTTATGGATTATCATGACAATTTGCTAGGGATGCTAAAAGGCACATGCATACCTTCACTTCTCTCACTTACCTCATATGGTCATATTTCTTAAAAAGTGCATTATATTCTACTGCCCTCTGCTGGAGCTCCACGTCAATGCTGCTTCCATAGATGGAAACCACTTTCTTAATTCGGCTTTGGAATAAAATGATAAATGAGTTCAGATACCCAAAAGAAAATTCATAAATAAGCAGAGAAAATAATGTTTCAACCAGAGCTTTCTGGTTAAAAATTTAAAATTCATATCCTTTCTTAATTTTTCAAAAATAAAACACTTTTGGGCCTCCCTGGGGGCACAAGGGTTAAGTTGCAGCACTATGAAGCTAGCTGCAGCCTCTGCAACATGAGTTCGATCCCAGGTCAGGGAGCTACCCACACGGTGCAGCAGACCTCTCCTGTCTTGCCTGCTGCTTCCCTCAGCAGTGTATTTCAGTCAAACTGCCTGTTCTGTTCCCCACTCTGTCTCTGGATAGTCCTCTCACCTCCTGTACCTCTGGCCTGTACCCCAGTTCTTGTATGCAAAAATAAATCTTTTAAAAAATAAAAAGTAAAAAATAAATAAAATGCGTTTCTTTCATCTTTATTCATCCAACATGTACCTCGACACCAACCATTCACCATTATACTTATTCTAACTTTGATGTGATTGTTGTCTCTTAAATATTCCATATAATAAAGTTTGTTAGTACCAGTTATCAATTTACTACAAAAGAAACTTCATTCTCTTCTTTGATAACTTAAAATAAGCTCTATCAACAAAAGGGTCATAATACCAGACTTGTCTCAACAAATTCTAGCTCACAATTTGAAGAGTGAACCAAAAATATTTTTCATAGGCCTTGTGTTAAGAAGCAAAGCAGAAAGCCTAAGAAAACTAATTTGCTGGGAAGTTGATCCAAGAACTGACTTTATTCAAAATAGCAAAGAACAGAATTTGAATACTTAAACAACTAACCCTCATGATTTTCTTCCTATTAAGACATCTCAAAATATTTTAACACCAGAATCTTTACATGGTAAAGTAACTTCTCTACTTTAAAAAAGAAATTAGAAGTCTGATTTTAAAAACATAATTTTTTACCTTCAAAATAATCAATGATGGGGTGAGAAAGAGCAAAGTATAAATAAGGATTAACCACAAACTTATGATGTGGAATAATAGATATGTGCAATTAATTTTATTATTCTTTCTACTTTTGCTCTACTTGAAATTTTCCATATTAAAATTACAAAATAACCCTTTCACCCTACTTTTGCCATACTCACTTTACAGTACAGGTGAATCGAGTAGAAAGCTTCATAATGGCAGTGAGGGCATAACCTCGAGTCACAGAAGTAGACATATTAGAGATTAGAACACTTTCTAAAATATCCAACACTTCATCTTCTGTTACCTGGGAAGAAAGTAAAGACAAGGTACAATGAATTTACCAAGTATCTAAATCTGCTATCAAGTCACAGGATGCCACAGAAAAACAACAGTACCATCACTACCAAAGCTTCTAACATGATCTATGCTTTGTCAAAGTAACTGCCCACGCTGCTCCATCATTCAGAAATAGGTACAAAGGAGGTTAAAAAAAGAGAGAAAGGGGCCTCCCTGGTGGTGCAAGGGGTTAAGCACAGCACTATGAAGCTATCCGAAGCCTCTGTAGCATGAGTTCGATCCACGGCCGGCCAGGGAGCTACCCACATGGCGCAGTAGAACTCTCCTGTCTCAACCGCTGCGCTCCTCAGCAGTATATTTCAGTCAGTCTGCTTGTTCTGTTCCCCAGTCTGTCTCTGGTGAATCCTCTCAATCCCCTGCACCTCTGGCCTGTACCCCAGTTCTTGTATGCATAAATAAATAAATCTTTAAAAAAAATTAAATTAAAGAGAAAAATCCGAAAGGACTGAAGGCATGCTGTAGCTTTATGAAGCAGGAGAAGAAGAAAAGAAAAACTACCCATTTCTGCTAAAGCCCATTCTTTAATGAACAAATGTAAATAAACCTCATTTCTTCTTGTTTATTAGCAAGATAAGAGAATTATCTCACAAGCAAGCAAGCGCACGCACACACACACAATAATTCAGTCAGATGGAGTGGGAAGTAGGTCCTAAGGGGGTCTAAAATGACCACCCAATAAGTTTCGTCTCAAAAATGGGTATGTTTCCCAATATAATTCTGGTGCTAATTCTTTAAAAGGATTTCAAAAGAAGCAGCATCACCTCTTCATTAAATGTTATCATCTTATAACCCAAAACACTAGCTCCCCCACTTAACAATGAGCCACAAGGTGTACCTGAATTGGCTCCTCCTCTTCACATTGGCCAGACACGAGAAGATCTCCATATTCACCAATACACCATGCAGCTACTTGTACCAAAGGTTGCTGTCAAAAAAGGCACCATGCACAGTCAAAAAAAAGTAATGCAAATCACCGTTCATCTGACCATGAAGGTCAAAACAGGCATAGCTAGAGTGTTAGTTATACGAACACACACACACACAAAATAAAGGGTTATTTTCTCCCTAAAGTAAAAGACAAATGAATTACTTACTTGAGAATAATCACCAAGAATTGCTTTGTACAAGCGCTGGACAGTGTAGGCATGCATCTCCACACTATTGGTTATTAACTGGATCAAGTTGGGAACTGCATCATCACGAACATAGCTTCCTGCCTAAAAGGAAATGCAGACAGTTACCCCCTAAAAACAAACAGTAATGGTAACAAATATTATCTATGGCTGTTGTTAAAAGGATACTGCCACAAAACACCCTCAAAGACAACGTTCCTTCCAATTCTCAGGGTGATAACCAGTTCAAACTTCAAAATCGTACTTAGATAAATGAATATTGTAAAATTTTACATAAAACAAAATCTTCTCTGTCCAAAGTAAACGAAAATATAAAGGTTTACATTTCAAAGAATACCTTTTTTTATGTGAAACAGACTAAACTTTCAAAAGTGTAAGAAGTACATTCACTGGGAACTAGTTAAAAACACCTCTCTCTTCCCACAATTTCACAAATATTGGAGTTCAAATCCTATGGGCTATCGTACCATTCTCCAAGGGATAGAAAGGAGAGTGAGTGTATATTAAGAGTTTAAAAATATTTTAATAAGCAAGAAATGGTAACTTTTGAAAAACCTGAGTTTGTCTAAATCATCACACTGTCTTTTAAAAAAACAGTTTATAACTATTACAGAACCAATCATTAGTCTCAGGAATGGGCAATATTTTGTATTTAATTATCCACTTTCTTTTTTTAACTTGGTCTCTCTAATGTCCTCTTCACTTGTGGAATCTGAGATACTATTTGCAACTATGGAACAAAAGAAAAGCTATTAAACCGCCGAGGAAACTACATCTTGGACTTAAGAGTATTATAAGCAGACTGCATAAGCCATAAAAAGAGTGGAACCTGTGCCTAATCTCAGCCCACCTGGTCAATCTCCTTCTACTAGACAGAGAGTGGATCTGATTTACCAGACTGACACCAGAGCTAAAGCATGGATACACTGGAAAGGAAAATGAAAAAGAAAAAATCCTAGGTGGCTAGGAACACCTCTCCTGTTAAGAGAAACAAAGACAGAGGGGGAATTCTGGTCAAAAAAGGAAAGATGAGGAGCTAAAAAAAAAAAAAAAGGGTAAATTTGTGGTGTTATATTCTTCCCTAATGGGAGAAAGTATCAAAATAAAAAAAAAAGAGAGAGAGAGAGAAAACTTCAGTATGACCTGACACATAGATTACATCATCCAAAAACAGCAGGATATACATTTTTCTGAAGTTCACATGTAACAGTCACCTAGACAGACCACGTTCTAAACCATAACAGAAAACTTTAAAAAAAAAAAGTATTAAAGGAATTCTACACCACAACCATGTGGGATTTATCCCAGGTATAGAAAGTTGACTCAACATTCACAAATCAATATAATCTAGCAGACTGAAAAAGAAATCATGATCATAATGAGAGAATCTAGTCAATTGGAAAAATAAAAAGAAAGCATTTTGAAAAAACTGGCATTTTGATGAACATTGTGCTTTGGGAGTTCTATTTTGCCTTTCTTTTAAGTCTTAGAAAAATCTAAGAAAATGTCTTTTTATTCATCTTCCGTTGGAATAAAATTTTCCCATTAAAGACAAGTATTAACTTTTAACCTGTACAAAATTAATTCATTCTACATAAACTAGGAAAGTACATCATGAACAGAATTCCATAGCAACAAACTACATAAACATTTTAATGGCATCATTCCCTCCTACAGATGTTTCATAATTTACTTAACCCATGTTCATTTGGAAACTTCTAGTTGTTTTCAGTTTTCCCCTATCAAGATCAGGATACTTTGTAAATACATCTTTCTATATACATTTTTGTACACTTGTTCTTTTATTTTTTCTCTAAGAAAATGTTCTAAAACTTGAATTGAATTAAAAGATATCAACAAAGTCTTCTGCTACATACTGTACTCTGGACAGATGGCACTATTTCATACCCACACGAAGTGGAGAATGCTGCCTGTTTATTTTTTTTAAGATTTATTCTTGGGCCTCCCTGGTGGCACAGCAGTTGAGCGCTGGGTTGCAAAGCTGCCCAAAGCCTCTGCAGTGCTGGTTCGATCCACGGCTGCTCCCCGGCCACCGGAGGAGGGTCCCACATGGGGCGTAGACCTCTCCTGCCGCCCGCTGCTCCCCTCAGCAGTGTACTTTGGTCCTTCTGCCTGCTCTGCAACCCGCTCTGACTCTGGTGAATTCTCTCACCCTCCCGCGCTTCTGACTGTACCCAATGCTTGTATAAATAAATAAATTAAAAAAATATATTTATTCTTATGTATGTATACATACAAGAACTGGGTGTAGGCCAGAGGTGTGGGGAGGTAAGAGGATTCACCAGAGACAGAGCGGGAGCATAACAGGCAGATCAACTGAAATACACTGCTGAGGGGAGCAGCAGGCAAGACAGGAGAGGTCTGCTGCGCCATGTGGATTAGCTCCCTTGTCAGGGATTAAACTCATGCTGCAGTGGCTGGCGATAACTTGATAATGCTGAGACTCTAACCCCTGTGCCACCAGGGAAACCCTGTTTCTCTAGTTTCTTTCTTTCTTTTTTAAAGATTTTATTTATTTATACAAGAGCTAGGGTACCGGCCAGAGGCATGGGAAGGTAAGATGATTCACCAGAAACAGAGTGGGGAGCAGAACAGGCAGATGGACTGAAAACACTGCTGAGGGGAGCAGCGGGTGAGACAGGAGAGGACTGCCGCGCCATGTGGGTAGCCCCCTGGCCAGCCGGGGACAGAACCCGCACTGCAGAGGCTGCGGACAGCTTCACAGTGCTGCGCTCAACTCGCTGTGCCACCAGGGAGGCCCTGTTTCTCTATTTTCTGACTAACACTAGGAATTAAATTAAAAAGTATAAGTGAAAAATGACACTTCACTTTTATTTTGCTTACTGCTACTTTACTAGTAAGGGTAATTTTTCAGTTAACTAGTCATTTCTCTCTCCGCTTGGGATTTAGTTGTTCAAATGTCAATTATTTCCATTAGAGTGCTTAATGTTTCCTATTAACTGTAAGTTATTTATAGATTTAAAACATTTTACCCTGGCACATGTTACAATGTTTCACCCCAGTTGTCTTTTAACTTTGGAGAATTTTTTCTTTTTTCTGCAAAAACGTTCAATTTTAATGTGGTCAAATTTGTGAATGTTGGGCCTCCCTGGGGTTAAGATGGGTTGCAAGGGGTTAAGATGCAACCTATGAAGCTATCTGCAGCCACTGCAGCATGAGTTTGATGCCCTGCCAGGGAGCTACCCACATGGCGCAGAAGACCTCTCCTGACTCACCCACTGCTCCCCTCAGGAGTGGATTTCCATCGATCTGCCTGTTATGTTCCCCACTCTGTCTCTGGTGAATCCTCTCAACCCACCCCCTCCCCCGGCCTACCTCTGGCCTGTACCCCACTTCTTGTATGCATAAATAAATAAATCTTGAAAAAAAAATCTGTGAATGTTTTCCTTTATGGCATTTACTTCTGGTCACAAAATCAGACATAGTTAAGTCTTCTTTATATACCACCACACTTTTATTTTTACTCTAAAATCTGTAATCCTTGTCCTTTAACTAAATGATAGACAAGTGTCCAAATTCTGGAAAAAGGACATAAAAAAACTACCTTATAAAACTATTATTTTAAATCCAGAATATATTTAGTCATTCAAAATTCTCCAATGGGCCTCCCCTGGTGGTGCAGGTGGTTGAGCGCTGCACTGTGAAGCTGTCCACAGCCTCTGCAGCGCTGGTTTGATCCCAGCCGGCCGGTGAGGGTCCCACATGGTGCAGCAGACCTCTCCTGTCACGCCCGCTACTCCCTTCTGCAGTGTATTTCGTCAGTCTGCCTGTTCTGTTCCCTGTTCTATCTCTGGTGAATCCTCTCACCCTCCTGCGCATCTGACCTGTATCCCGATTCTTGTATAAATAAATAAGTAAATCTTTAAAATAAAATAAAATTTCTCCAATGGCTTCCCATTACACTCAGAATAAATCCAATCTCCAGTGAAATCACATAAAACCTAGTTCCTGCATTAATCCTACCATTTTCTGTCACTTTCCCTCTACATTCTTGTCTCCAAGGAGGCTAAGCTTGTTGCTATCTAAGGATTGTGCAGCATTTGCTTTTCCCTCTGATTAGTTTATTCGTCCCCCAAATATTTATAAGGCTCCTCATTCAAATGTTACCTCTTCTGAATAACAGGCCCTGACTACTCTACCTAAAATACTTGGCCCACTGCCCCAAATCCCTTCCTCTCCTGTCATCATTATAGTCCCTCATGCTACTTTAGTACTCATCATAGCATTTCCCCTGCCTGAAGTACAGCACAATTCCCCTGTGACTCTCCTATCTCCCCACTGGAATATAAGCCTCATGGTAAGAAGGGCTTTGCCTATTAATCAGCATACTCAGCACTTGTCTATGTTGACCCACAGAAGCTACTTACCGTTGTCAGAACACGCATAATTGTGTCGATATGCCACCGTTTAGAGGGTGCATACCTGAGAAAAAAAGGCACCAAGTAAAAAATTGCAACCTGTAAACTAGACTGTGATCACTGACATTCAAAATTCCTACATATAGTCATGTTAACTTCACAGGTTAAGTAATTACATGTGGGTACATTCCACCTTCAAATCTAATAAATATCCCCATCTCAAAGGGTGATGAAATGGTACATAGTAAAACATCAATGTTCACATAACACACCAATAGGAGTTGCTGAGCTAAGAAATGGAACCCTCTCCATTTTCTCAGAAAACAATTCACAAAGTCAGGGGAAAAAAAGAAGATAGGGAAGAAAGAAGAAAAGAGACTGTCCCCTGACTCAAGACACTCAAGGAACAGGAACATATTTCCTTAATTCATAGTAGAAATAGGAGCAATAACACCACCACCACATTTTGAGATACTTCTTCCTGAAGGTTATACATAAAATCACAATGCAGATGCTATAAATTCCCTATTCTCATCATTTAAAGAGCACCATAAATGAGAGGTTAAAAAACAGATATAAGGGATTTTATAAAAGTAGGAATTTGTTTTTGCTGGGGTGGGGGGATCTTAGTATACTTAAATGCCGGACTCCTGCTAGAATATCCTCAAAATTAATTTCTAGTCAGGAGCTTGAAATATGGGTTACATATGTTTTAAACATGTTTCCAACATTTCCCCATGTTCTAAAGATGCTTTCAAAAGTTGCAAGCATCTTTTACCAACAAAGGTAAAAATTAGGTCTTACTTTTCTGCAGCAAGAAAGATTCCAGATGCACAATCTGCTTTAAATTCTGGCTCACAAGAATCCAGAAAATAAAGTAATTCTTTCATCATGCCTCGGATGTTATTCCCATTTACTAGGGCAAAACTCAATTCCATTGCACGCCTTGCAGGATGGGGGAAATAAAAAAAGACAGTTATGAAACAATGACCAGGTATGTCTGAGCACCAACACTAGCACATATGTTACTGTTCACTCACATTCATGTGATTCTAACCCTTGCATGTGAGATAATCAAAGATATCAAAGTCAGTTTTGATATTTTGAATCTGCATTCAAAACAAATCTTCAAAAGCCCTAGGAAACACACTACTAATGACCAAATATATAGTTTGGGTTTAATACTCCATGAAGTTGAAATTTAGAATACTGGAAAGACTCAAAAAAGAAAGGCAATAAAATTATTACCCAATGATTAATATCTCTCTGCTTTAGTCCTTAAATATGTAAAAGTCACCATACTCTCCTTTGATTATATCCACTCTGGCCAAAGATAAAATAACATAGTTTACACCAAAGGGCATACAGAAATTAGAATAAAACAAACCTTGAGGGAATTATGCTAAGTGAAATAAGACAGAGAAATACAAATACTGTATGGTATTACTTATGTGTGGAATCTAAAAAAGCCGAATGCAAAAAAACACAGTGTGGTCAGCAGGGCCTGAGAGGAAAAGTGGAGATGTTGTCAAAGGGTGTAAATTTCCAGACAGAAGACTTGTGCTGCAGTGGCTGCCAACAGCTTCACAAAGCTGAGACTTAACCCCTTGAGTCACCAAGGAAGCCCCTCAACTGTTTTATACAGGATAACTGAGGCACTAAAAAAGCTAAGTAACGAGATCCAATCTATTAAGAACAGAACCAGGATTAGATATGTGGCATGCTGGCTCCAGAATTTGAGCTCTGTTTGTTATACAGTCAGACAAAGAGACACCGGTTTTACTTTGAAATGTTAAGTCCAGTTATGAACAGGCCTTACAACAGAAATGAGAAGGCCTGATTTCTATTTCTAGGTATGTCCAGTACAAGGAGTAAGGTTTAGAGCAAGCCATTTGATTCCTCTGGGATTATATTTTATTTTATTATTTTTTTTAAAGATTTATTTATGCATACAAGAGCTGGGGTACAGACCAGAGATGCGGGGGGTGAGAGGATCCACCAGAAAGAGTGGGAAACAGAATAGGCAGACGGACCAAAACATACTGCTGAGGGGAGCAGTGAGCGAGACAGGAGAGGTCTGCCTCGCCTGGGATTATATTTTAATTATTTAAATAAAGGGCTCTTTATTTAAAGAACACTGCCTCTGCACTGCATTATGATCTGTCTGCACCATCTTCAACAAAGATGTCAGAGCTACGTATCTGGATGAACAAAATTGCAGAAGAACAGAATTAAAATGTAAAATTCAGGACAGTTCTCCTCTGCCAAAATAATGACAAAAAAATGTCTAAGGACAAAGGGAAAGCACGTATTTTCAAATACGTTCAGAAATTTAAATTCAAAGACAGATATGCACATAATGGTATTGGTAATTTATTTTTAAAGATTTTATTTATTTATGCATACAAGAACTGGGGTATGGGGATGGACATAACTGCCTAGTCTCTCTCACTGGCTTGCTCTGAGAACCAACTGATAAGGTGCTTATAAATCCTTTGCCAACCTCTATATAAATGGTATTGAGGTCTTATCTTTAGATTGCCCCAGCACTTAGTACCTGTTCTCTGCAAATAAAAAGAACTCAATTATCAATAAATGTTAAGTCAACAGTTTCAGACTTTTTCTTTTTTTTTTTTATTTTTTAACACTTTAGTTTTTTAGAACAGTTTCATTTTCACAGCAAAATTAAGCAGAAAGTAGAGATTGCCACAAAGTACAGTGTCATCCCCCCATCTCTCTATCAACATCCTCCACCACAATGGTACACTTGTTACAACTGAAGAACCTATAATGACACAACACGGTTATTCAAATTCCATGGTGGCATTAGGGTCACTCTCAGTGTTGTATATTATGTAAGTCTGGACAAACGTATAATGTCATCTCTCCACCTTCAACAATATTATACACAGTAGTGTCACTGCCCTAAAAATACTGTGCTCTGCCTATCCTTTCCTCTTTTTTATCTCCTTGAGACTTTTTTTTTTTTTTTTTTTAACCATTTTCACAGTTTTGTATTTTCCAGAATGTCATAGTTAGGATCATGCAAAATGTAGCCTTTTCAGACTGGCTTCCTACACTTAGTAATTTGTATTTAAGCTTCTTCCATGACTTTTCATGGCTTGATAGCTCATTTATTTTTTATAGCTCCAAACACTTTGGCTATACCAACATTTATTTATCCATTCACCTACTTCTGAGTTTTGGCAAGTATGAAATAAAGCTGCTATAAACATCCATGTGCAGGTCTTCTACAGACATTAGTACTTTTGTAAATGTAGTTTTATGCATATGGATAAGCAAAGCAGAAATGGATATCACGGTTTATATTCTTGACTCCAAAAAAATCAACTTTCATTAAATAAACTTCTAACTTGTTTCTGAATAAATTCAGCAGTTACATTAGAGAGCCAGAAGCAACAGTTATTCTTGGGGTTATTAAGTGAAAACTATTCTCCAAAGACTCATACAAACACAAAAGCAAACAATAAGGCAAGTAGGAAAGTCAGATCAGTGGAAGGCACAGAGAGGAGGACCTCAGAGATCATTTTCAATCTAATTTGCTCTGAATTTGAACATATAACCAAAACTTTATTGAGGCCTACTACAGTTAGGTTTTACAATCATCTACAGTTTTTCTACAAGAACTGGTAATTACTCCATCAAGGTAAATAACACATGCCTTCTAAAAGTGCTATCTGCTGCCTACCAGTTATCCCTAGATGCACTGTTCTTAAAAACAACAACAACAACAACTTCTACTACTATGGGGCATGAGTACTGTGAGAAAGTGTGTGCTGTCAGCAATTTGAGTTTCAGCATTGTGATAACACACTTAGCCGATGGATCACTCCTTATTTTCATCCTCCAGCACACAAAACACAGTACTTCTGGCAAGTAAACTTTTACCCAGTTATCTGTATCTCATTTAATTATCAAAGTGCACAACTTTGCTGTGTACTTAAGTATTTCTTATTGGCTTCCTTAATTGACCTCAACTTCTAACTGCTAATTCTTCCCCAGAAAAGGATTTACTCTACAGAGTTCATCTGTAAAAACAGTACCTGAATATATAAATGTGAATATTCTCACTCTCAAATCTATTACAACATTATTGGGGGGAGGAGAGAGTGAGAGAAATCAAAAACCTCTTACCGTTTTATTGAGACATCCAAATCTTTCAGACAGTCCACAATTGTGCTTCTGTGCCTTTGCACTGCATTATGATCTGTCTGCACCGTCTTCAACAAAGATGTCAGAGCTACGTATCTGGATGAACAAAATTGCAGAAGAACAGAATTAAAATGTAAAATTCAGGATGGTTCTCCTCTGCCAAAATAATGACAAAAAATGTGTAAGGACAAAGGGAAAGCATATATTTTTAAATATTTTAAGAAATTTAAATTTAAAGACAGATACACATATAAGGGTATTACTAAATTTTTTTAAAAAGATTTTATTTATTTATGCATACAAGAGCTGGGGTACAGGCCAGAGATGCGGGGGTGAGAGGATTCACCAGGGACAGAGTGGGGAACAGAACAGGCAGACTGACTGAAATACACTGAGGGGAACAGCAGGTGAGTCAGGAGAGGTCTGCTGCACCATGTAGGTTGTTCCCTGGCACTCATGCTGCAGAGGCTGGGATTGCTTCATAGTACAGTGCTTAACCCCTTGCACCACCAGGGAGACCACTGGTAATGGTAATATTTTAAATGTAAAAGAGACACTATTACCTAAAGTAGGACAACCAGCAGAAACCTTGGATTGGCACTCATAGCCAAGTCCATTTAAGCTTCAGAAAGTGATTGACTCAATTTTCTCAAACCCTTCCAAATAGTACAACAAAATAAGCGTATGATATGCCTTGTCAAGCCTTCATCCCAAAATGCAAAAGGAAATTATTTCAATTTTGCCATTTTTAGTCTCTCTGCTTCATGTGATGCTAATGCTAAAATGGTCTCTACATACATTTGAATTTAAGATTCAAATATTTAAAAATTCTTTTGGGGCCACCCTGGTGGCGCAGGCAGTTGAGCGCCACACTGTGAGGCTGTCCGCAGCATCTGCAGCGCGGATTCGATCCCGGCTGGCGGGCAAGAATCCCACATGGTGAAGCAGACCTCTCCTGTCTCACCTGCTGCTCCCCTCAGCAATGTATTTCGTCAGTCTGCCTGTTCTGTTACCCGCTCTGTCTCTGATGAATCCTCTCACCCTCCCGCGCATCTTTCTTAACATGTTAAGGAAGAAAAATTACTCTGATTAAAAGAGAAACAAAGACAAGCAGGGTATACTACCATATAGAAAAATAATAAAAGATAACACCAATAAATTCATCTATTTATAATTCTACTAACTGGAATTTACAAAGACATTGCAGATTTGCAACATGAAATATTGTATTTTTTTTTAATGTTGTGTTTTTCTTACTCATTTAGACAGGGGTCAGCAAGCTATAGCCTACCTACAAAAATTCGGGCTTCTACTATCTAGTTCTGTGAATCAGTTTTTATCAGAACACAGTCATACTCGCCATTTACACAGTTTGACTTTCATGCCAAGAAGCCCCTTCAGCCTAAAACAATCACCTAAAACTATCACCTACACAGAAAATGTTAGCTGGTTCCTGATTTATAGTGTGAGTATAAAATTTGAGTCACAAGGCAACTTTTTCAAATCCTTTACAAAAAGGTAGCTTTACGACCCTACTAAATATAAAAATCCACTTATATATGTTATTTCTCAATATACGGGTAATCTGCACCAAAGTCACTCTTGCAAAAGTCAGTTTATTAATACCAAAATACATAACAGTTTTTCAGTTAACATACCTAATATTCTTGTCGTTGTTAAGTAAGAAGCGACCCAGGATATTTATGGCTAGGACCTTAAAAAAAAAAATCATTAAGTTAAAAATTCCAAGCCAATATTTTAAAATGAAATACTAGGGGTAAGAAAAGATTTAGAAAGACTTACTCGCAGTCCACTCTCTGACTTAATATCCATAATAGTCAAAACCGTTTCATAAAGAATAGCGTTTCCTACATTTTTACTAGTCTCTGTATTAGTGGCAACCTGCAAAGACACAGAAAACATCCAGAAGTAACAAGAGACATTTTATAATTGATTATACCAACAAGGAAACACAAAACTATTTCATATAATCACTATCAGTCTACTCCCTGCTATATTAAAAAAAAACATTTAATATAATACAACCTTGGCCTGCTTACCTGTGCTAATATATCATTCATAGCTTCACTTGAGTCATCATCATTTCGTCCTAAAATTCTTAATAACCGCAAAATTCGTACCTAATGTACAAAATACGAGAAGTGTCAATAAATTATGTCTGCACAAAAGAAACATCACTTCATGTGACATTCAAACAACTTAAACGAAGTCTTAGATCACATTAATAATGGTCAAAAATCTAAGCGAAGAATGTTAAGTATTATCTTTTTTGTATCTTGATAAAATGATTAGACAACCCATCATTTACCAATTCATGGCTAAAGGATACTATCACCTGCAGAGTTATCAAGTTTACTGGTAAGTTAAGTCTTTATTGTAATACACATAATTTTGACTACTGCACCTAAAATTTAAGTCTATTAATCTAATAAAATACAGAGTTGGGTCACTATTCATTTATTAATACAATTATTTTAATCAATTTCTGCATAACACAAACTTAAGAGGAAGGAAACAATCTATTCCAAACATTTACACAAAACTTTCTTTCAACCTCACCTGCAAAAAGGGATCACTGATACCAGAAACATCATGTTCTGGTGAATATCCGGACATGATGAGGTTCTTTAAAATACGAACTAATTGGGGAACAAGCTGCAGGAAAGAAAGGGCATCAAAAAACAGTGAACATCAAAGAATTTATCATAAGTAAGCAGGTGATTTGGCTTAGAAAAAGGATGCAGGGGTGTGAGTCCAAGCAAATTCTACTGATATCACATACTAGTACAGTACTGATGCTTAATAAGTATTCCTTAGGATTACTTAGGCCAAGAACTCAAGAAGGAATATGTGTTTTATCTGAATAAAACAAATCAGACTTTTTTACTCCACTCGTGTCTGCAAAGATATCACAAATAATAGCAGAGCAGAAAGCCCAGAATCATCGTAAAAGAGATGCCCATGGAGCGTAGTGCTTTTCTGCTTTAACAGAGCTTGACATACCTAGATGGCAAGGACATGTTCAGTTTTTATCCATTCAAACATTTGGATATAAAATTTTATTACATCCAAAATACTGCTAGGAATACCATTAAAATTTGTTTAAAACTATACTACCTCCAGGCCTCCCTGGAGGCGTAACGGGTTAAGTCACCACTATCAAGCTATCAGCAGCCACTGCAGCACGAGTTCAATCCCCAGCCAGCCAGTTAGCTAACCCACATGGGGCAGCAGACCTCTCCCCTACATGGGGCAGCTCCCCTCAGCAATGTATTTCAGAGGATTCACCCGTTCTGCTCCCCACTTTGTCTCTGGTGAAACCTCTCAACTCCCACACCTGTGGCCTACACCCCAGCTCTTATAGGCATAAATAAATAAAATAAATTTTTAAAAACAAAACAAATAAACAAACAAAAACCTATACCACCTCAAATAAGGGAAGGGAAATCCTCTCCTCTTACAAAAGGGCTATGTCCTTTCTGACAACAAGGAATATGAAAGTCTGTAAAACACTGACCAAGTAGAAAAGACACATGAAAAAGTTCTTTTTTCTTAAGAACATATACAGGCCATGAACAATTTCTTTCCTTATTCTTAACTCAGTATGATACAACTTTTGGTAAAATTTAATTTCAGCATTTAATTATACACACTGATTTCTTGTCTGTTGTCCTGTTTCACCTTACTGACGAAACTATTACTTATGGTCAGGAACTCCCTACTCTGTCCATTAGTAAGAACACACAGAAGAGGCAATTTTATTGCCAATCTGAACTTAAATATGCTTTAAATATTATTCATTTCATTCTGTTGATCAACCACTTACTGGTAAAATCCTACTCTAAAATGTTACCCACAAAAACTTTTCCAGTCTCAAATTAAAACTCAATTTATCTATATAAACAACCCTAATCAGCTAAAGTTAAGAAACACCCAAAGTAAACTGAACTGCATTGCTTTTGGAGGCAATCTTAACAGCCTCAACTCTGCTGTTGCTTAATTAATTTTTTCCTCATTGAATTTGGACTTTGTCCCTCCCTACTCCCCAATACTTTTAAAAGGGAACCAAGGTTAAAACAAATGTCAAGCTACACCAGACAATACCCTCAAAACACTCACAATATTAAGGTCACTTCTAAATATAGAAAACATAATCTGTGTGAATTTAACTAAGTTTGACTATTACACTTCAGAATTAAGTGATTCATTAAATCACCTAAACAAAAATCAAATTTAGATGGCACCAAGGTTTAAAAAAGAATCCAAGCCATGAAGAACTATGAATTCTAAACAGAATCATGGTATCTGTCAATTGTGTGTAAATTTATATTAGAGGCAACAGTACTATAATTTTATAAACTGCCTTAAAATGCTGTAATAAAACCAGGATCATCTAGCTACCAAGCTCTGCCCAAAAAGCATCTCGCCAATGTATATTTCCCAATGGCCCACTTCCTTATAGTCCACATATCCCTTATTACTTTTTTCAATCTGGTTTGTTTCTTGGGGAAGTCCTTTTGCCTTGGATTACTAAATTCCAAACTGTTTTACTAACCACCAAAAGACCAGCCCACCACATAAAATGCCCTGGGACAAAAGCACAATGTCTAAAGTGTTCAGCATACAAATTCTTGGAACTCAAGCTTTATTTTTCAGACAAAAATGCACGTTACTAGAACTGATGACAAGACAAACGAAATAAGGTGACAAAGGGAAAGGCTGCAGCCATGAAAATCAGTTGATGCCCACCCACTCTAGCTCAAAATCCTTTTAATATCTTAAAACTTCTAGGCAAGATTAACTGCTGTTAAGGGAGAAATAAAAGTGCTAAATCTGAACTGAAAGCTCAGAAGTACATACACAGCTTTTTACAGTATGAGAGTACCCAAACATGGCTCTGAAATATCTGCTCCAAAAAAGAGCAGTGCTTTGCATCAAGGTTCCAAACTGCCATCACCAAAGCCACTGGGAAACTGCTTAAAGTTTCTCAAGTAAAGATAAAGGAAAGGCAGAGAAAATGATTTACAAATCAGGAAAGGCTGCAACTGAAATCCAAGGCTGAATGTGGAGTCAGAAGTTTAATTAACACAACAAAAACTGGACTAGGGAGTTAGCCAAAAATGCTAGAACAAATAATTCATAATATTAAGCGCAGCTGTAGCATAGGTGTATTTTTAAAAGCCACAATTGTGGATGGATACACAAAAGCTATTAAGGACCTAATGCCAGCATGCACCATCTAAAAGAGGGTTAATTCTTACCTTTTCATTCTAACATACAGCAGGATTCCAAACAGACAACAGGAACAAAACATACAAAGCAAGCATTAGGGACAGATACAGGTCTCATACTATTTTACATTAATTTAATCAAGACATGAACATCTAGGAGGAAAAGAAGTCAAAATGAGCTGTTTTTATAGCCTCATTATATTAAAGGTACAAAGTCAGCCCCATTTATGGAGCGATCAGGAATTAAATGATGCAACTACCCAAAAATACAGTCTTCCTCTGAGTCCTCCTTACTATTGTCTTCTAAAAATAAGTTGAGGGAACAAAAATTCCCACATTTTAAAAATATAAAAAAGGGAGAATGATGGGATTTAAAACAAGATGGAGACTTCCTATTACAGAAGTCAACAGCCTGAGTGAACAGTGATCCTGTGGCAGGTAAAAATTTCAGTACATACCTTAAAAAAAAAAAAATTACCTGCCTAAAAAAAGAACACACATACATACAATTCCTGTTTGTGATTTGACCTCAGGTTGCATTTCCTGACTTCAATGTGAAAACAGAAGATAAAGTAGATGAGAGATTAGTGTGTGTGCCAATAATGAGAGACCTCTGTTAAGAAAGGGAAAATACTGTACTATTGCCAGTTCTCATATGCCTACATCTGGCTTCCAGCCCTATCACACAGCAGGGCTGCTCAAGTCCTTTATTCAGTTCTATGGTTTCCTTTCAAAAGAAAATTCCTAAGTGAGAAAATCAAATACTGTTCAGAAAATCATTTTTCAATCAAGAAGAGCTTAGGCATCCAGAATGACACCTACCTTTCTAAAATGTGCAAGCATGTCTGGACTTCGCTCACACATTTCTGTGAGGAGGACTACAGATGTGTGAAGGACACCTGAAAGAAAACAGCATGTAAAATTTAAAAATGAAGCTACACTATTCAACTTCACAGAACAAGGTTTGATTTCTGAAGGTCAATTCCAAAGGGATAGTAGCTACAGTGCTTTTTAATCTCTCAAAGACTTTAAGCATTGTGGTGAATACAAAGGAGGTATTTAATAGATGACTGCAGATTTAACAGTGGTCAAGTATTCAAATCAGAATATTTTAACCAAATATGTGACCAAAATAATTGCTAAAACATGATAACCGATTCATGTGTCTCTCCATCTGAGCCCATCCATAAAGATACGCTCAAGAGTCAATATAAGACAGGTATCATGTGCTCCATGCTTAATCAATAATCTAATAGCTAAGTTCTAACAGATAATTCAAGATGCAAAAATCTAAAACATTCATTTTCCCCCTAACAATTATACTTTGAATCTTCTAGATACCAGAGCTGAGTTAATTAAGTGTACCTCACTACGTTTTCTATTAACATTTAGGACACAAAAATTCTCCTTACTCAGAACTTGCTTCACTTGCTTCAAAATAAGAATAAAACATGTGAGGGACAGAATACTCCAATCCCATTTAATTTCTCTCAAGCTTTATATAAATACATCTAAATGCCCACTACAAATTCCTGTTACAAGTAACCTAAAAGGCTCTTCATAAATCTCATATAAACCGACCACGAGGCAATAGAGAAATAGCTTTTTCTTCTAATATAAAATAGCCAGGAAATCAGGAAGTTTTACTCATGAAAATCAAGGCTTACTTACACTAAACATTTGTAACTTAAGATAGTACTTTCAATATATTAAAAGAAGACCAGCAATGAAAACTAAATTTACTATGAAGGAATCAATCTCTAATTATAAAAACAGTGTATCAGAGCAGAAGAACAATTAGATGAATCAGAACTTCCTGGAATTTAGTCTAAGCACAACAGAAAGGCAGTAATTCCACTGCACTGAGCTACAGGTCAACATTGCCTGAAGCCTTTTCTCATTCCCCTTCTCCCTCAGTCCTTCACAAGTTCATCAGAGTCACATTACCATGGTTCTTTTCATTCAATAAATTTTTTGTTGCTGGTAAAAACATCTCCATAAGTTCAGGAACCTTCCTGATGACATGAACAGCACATAGTGCTGCCTATAAAAAAATAAAAGGACAAAAGATTTATTTCAAGTAAGCCAGGCCAACCCATCTACAAAAAACAACAAAACCACCTTATCAACTAAGTCATCTATTAGAAAAATAAAGAGGTTAGATATCAGACTTAATATTTATTAACTGGTTAGGGCTTTCTAATTTATACTACTGCATTAATAAGAATGTTTAGCTCACTGGTTCCTTTGTTCATATTTGCTATATAAGAGGACAAAAACTTTTTAGGCTATCCACAGGTAAAATGAATTTATCTAACAAGTTAAACACACTATGTGCGGTTTTGGTTAAGTTAAAAATAGATCAAGACTTCTGTCTGTGATAATCGTTCCTCTGAATAAGATAAACAAATGGTTCCGCAAGAACACCCATGCAGTTGAAAGATATTCTGCAGATGTTTTAAATATGCTGTTACTCTTAATAGTAAGTATACCTTCCCCAATTCACTCTCTACTGACATAAAAAAAGTCATCTAAAGAAAAGACAGTCTTAGTTTATTCATTGGAGGAAAAAAAAACATGCAAGACTGATTTTGGTTTACCCAACCCATCCCCTCCAACAAATAGTAACCATATTTACTATTTTCAGAATCTAGCAAGGTATCACGGTGTTTCTTTTTGTGTTTTCATGTGGTGGTAGTGAGGGAGGGGGTTCTAACTGCAGAATGTTTTATTTAATGAAATAATGTATCTTCTGAACAAGAGAGACCCATATGTTCTTTAAGAGAAAGACTGGGTTTTGTTTTGCAGCCATCGTTAACAGTGTATGATCTGTAAAACACCTTTGGCCCTTTCAACACTTCTGTCTTACACCATCACAGAGCAGCACAGTTAATGCCAAGCAGGTGATAGTTAAGTGTTCACTTCTTAGGCATCTAAATTTTATACCCCTTATTTTCAAACGCTTTAAGGTTCAAACACAATAAAATAATAGCATGTTTGGATCAACAAATAAAGCAGATAAGAGAGTAAGATCACCATTCTCCATTATTATTTCATTTAGACATACCAATTTCAAAAGGTTCTGTATCATTCCCCAATAATGATCTAGGTCCCAATGGAACTGCCCTTCCAGAGATACAAAGATATGGGCACTAGTCATTACGACAAAAGCAAATTCATGAAGACATGTTAATTATCACTCTGCCGTAATGCTATTTAGAATCAGCATTTTAGGAAATATGTAAGCCATCTAGCATATCCAGTACATTTTTTTGTTATAACTCATTTATTCCTTGAACACAGAGCAATGAAGGAATTAATGTGTTCACAATCACTATCAATTGGTGAGTTACCTAGCATTTAAAAAAATACTTCAAAATTAGTATTAAGATTTGGATTTATAAACAATTCACATACAATCACTTAGAATGTATTTACTGCAAAGAAAAATTCATTAAATTATAATCATGAATAATTATAATTATAAACATGAATAATTCGCCTTCTCATCTCTCCCTAATTAATTTTTTTATATATAAATTTTTTATATATAAATTTTTTTTATTTTTATATTCCCCATATAATTGTAACCCCCTTATTTTGACCACAATCCCTCCCCTCCCCGCCCCCCCCATAGAATGTCTCCGGTTCATAGATTTTTGTTGATTTTGATTTTCACTTTCTTATAGTTATTCATTTTCCTGATCCCTTATTTAGGTTTTCTAGATTCCTGCTATGAGTGAGACCATCCGGTATTTTTCTTTTTCTTTCTGGCTTATTTCGCTGAGCATGATCCCTTCCAGCGCCATCCATGTTGCTGCAAATTGCATGTGTTTATCTTTTTTGAATGCCGAGTAATATTCCATGGTGTATATGTACCACATCTTCTTGATCCAGTCATCTATTTTTGGGCATTTGGGTTTTTCCAAAGCTTAGCTATTGTAAACAGTGCTGCTATAAACATAGTCTCCCTAATCAATTCTTCCCAATCCAAACACAGACATTTGGTTTCATTAAAAGTTACCTTTTTTCTTAAGTAAGAGTTGGAGGTTTTCAGGAGTTTCTCTACCTCTCCTGCGAGATCTCTGCACATCTCTGAGGAGCCCATGCAACCGAGGGTACAAAGCGCTAGCCCCTGTACATATTGCGTGCTATGATTAAGATCACTGTACAAGAAAAAAAGGAAGAAGGTAGACATGAACATCTCTGCCTGGTGCACCCCATGGAGAAGCTTCACAATATAACAAGACAGCTCAGAATAAATCACAATTTCCCCAATAAGGAAAGTAAAAGGATTATTTGTTGCCAAAAAAAAAAAAAAAAGTTTGCACCAACTTTATTACAATTGCCAAGGGACTGACAGACAGTCCCTCCTATAGGCTTACAATTCAATATTTGCAAATAATCAAAGCAACAGAAATTAGACCACATGCTATCTGTTGGATGTTAAAGGCTTCAAAAAAATTGAGTACCATTAAAAGCAAAAAGTCAATGATAAAAAGAGGAAGCAAAAAAAGTATCTTTAAAAGATCTTTAACATGCTTCACTATTACTACTACTGTAACAAAGAGATACCCACGGATCAAAACCTTTTTAAAAAACAAATCAGAAAATATAATCTGCTATAGCAGTAAGGTGACTTAAACACAATAGAAACGTTATGAAACCTTTAATCTTACCAAATATTATTTACTATTTCATTTTTCCAAAAGAAGATAAAAGATAGATACTCATCAAATCAACTTTAAGAAACTAAGCTAGGTATTTACAGTGAGGCCCATTATCTGGTGATAGACAAAATCCTATCTCTAACAGGCACTGACTACTGTCCAAAACTACTTCCAAGCGAGCCAGGAAGCATACCTTCAGAAAAGCTGAAATTTTAAAAGTTTAAACCAGTAGGCTCATCCATATATTATAGTCAACTCACAGAATTCAGAAGCTGAATTACTATGTGAGTTATGCTACTTCCAGCTTTCAGAGCAATATGGTATCCTTCAGACCAATGATTCTCAAAGACTGACTCACAGATCTCAGAATGTCCACAAGCCTGTTTAAGGGGTCTGTAGTATTTTTACAACTCAATACAAACAAAAAGCAAAAAAAGAAAGAAAATCCACAGATAAAATTCCATTAACTACCAGTTTTTGAGAGGGAAAACAAACACTGAATGATCCAAAGTTCTTTTAACTTTTAGATTGATGTGTCAGATCAATTCCCAAGAATGCAAAAAAGTAGCTTTCCTCTATATTCACTCAGAGATTTGTTGGGTCTCATTAAAATTAAATACAAAGATTTTTCCTTGCTTATATGCCTTTTTATTCTGTTTTTTATCAAGCTACTTGATAAAAATAAGTCTTGAGTTTGGCATTAACTCTCTAGTATGAACTCGCTATGAGGCAGAACTGCCAAATTAGCAGCATGTGATTAAAGGCTTGAGTAATAAGGGCAACAGAGCATGCAAGCACAAAAATTAAAGAAACTCTCAGAGGCCTGTCCAGAATGAATGTATGAAAGAGTCACATTGAACAATGCAAAATGAAGCCACCAAGACACCAAGGATTTCCATCCATTTTTTTTTAAAGATTTATTTATTTGTGCATACAAGAGCTGGAGTACAGGCCAGAGGTACAGGGAAGATGGGAGAGTGAGAGGACTCACCAGAGGCAGAGTGAAGAACAGGTGGATCTACTGAAATACACTGCTGAAGGGAGCAGCAGGTGAGACAGGAGAGGTCCACTGTGCCATGTGGGTCCCCTGACTGGCTGAGGAGCGAACTCCTGCTGCAGTGGCTGCCTATTGCTTCCTAGTGCTGTGACTTAACCCCCTGCGCCACCAGGGAGGGTCCTCCATCCATTTTTTAAATTCTCCATTCCCAGAGCTTACAATAAGCCCTGGCATGCAACAGGTTTACAATAAATATTTGCTGAATAGTTTAGTATTTTCATTAGTGATATTTATTTCAAGGCCCAAAAACGAGATTCTCCCAAAATCAAGTGTATTTAAATGATACACTCTTTATTTACAACCAAAGCTTAATTATCATTTTGGAATTTTCTATTATCTATTGGGAAATGTTAAAGCGGAACATTATTTAATATAGAAAAATATAAGAGAATTCAATGTCTACAAATTTAATCACCTATATCCCCCTACCCTTTCTGTCAAATAATTACAAATGAAATCTGAAAAGAAGATTAAACTAACAGACAAAGCAAAAACAAACTGAAAATTACCTTTAATTATTTAAGGACATCAAAATTTCTGTAAGTTTCTAACAGAAATTTATTATAAAAGGGATGCCAGGAAAAACTCAATTCTCTGCAGAGCTCCTCTAATTTCTCCATACAGGATGTATTCCAGGGTGGGTTAGCAAGTTAAACAAACATGACTGGGCTAGTCCATCAGTAAAGCAGCCATTAGAGAAAAAAAGATCCATCCACAAAATTTCACAGGACCAAGTATAATTGCATGAATTGGAATCTCAGATCAGACTGCTGACAAGCAAGACCTCTCTTTTTACTTTTAGATAGTAATATAAACTGGTTATTCTTTAATATCAGAATATACACTGATAATTCTTTAATAAATACAACACTTGGTTATTTGTGGTATTCCAAGTACTAGAAATATAATAAAGTTCTTATTTTACCAACGCTTTTTCTATTCTATGAAGGTCTAAATTTTTATCACTAAATTGTGTTCCTATGCCTTAAGATGCACAGCAATACCTTCACTTAAATTACTCCCTACAAAAGTGCTAATCCTTTTCTTTGCTTAGCCTCTTCACATATAAACTATAGAAACAAAAGCAATTTAAAAGTATTCGGGAGAAAAAGTATGAAATCAATAAATAGAAGTTCCTGATGTCATAAGAAAGACCTAAAGAGCAAAAGGTGCTCTCTGAGTAAAGGAAGACTTACTTTTTGATACAGTTGGTCATGAGAAGATGAACATCTTGTCTTTCATCTAACAGCAGCATTGCCCCTAAATAGCCAATGCGTTTGTCTGTGAATTTTTGAGAGGCGATAAGCTTGAGGCACTCCAACTACAAATAAACAATGGGGGAAAAAAAGGAAATTTAGAAACTGCTACTATAATCTAGAAAAGCAATGTTTTCAACTCAGAGTCATGGATAGCTTAAATAAATAGATTGAACTTGTATCAGTAAAATACCTACAATAAAAGGCAAAGATTTAAAATCTTTGGGTATCTTGATAATATTATCAAGTTGTAGAGTAGAACAACTTTTTACAGTCTTATGATATTTGCCATCCAAATAATCTGACGTTTATCTTAGTTATACAGATTCATTCAAACACAAACCAGTAAAATAAGATAATAAGCTATTAATAAGTCCAATTCTTTTCTTTTAATTGAGGTAATAAGGGGACACCCCCATCAGGTATTACCACCATAGTACACCCACCACCAACTCACCCATATGTCACCACCACAGACCATTGTGCTTTCTTCCCTCTTTGTTCTTACTCCTTCCCTACCCGGTCCTCACCTTGGTGTTTCAATTCCCTAGTCAGCCATCAAGGATTAGTTTTTAAGCAGTCTATTTATTAGTTTAGTAACTTTATATTCCACAAATTAGTGACACCATCTGGTATTTATCTAAATAAATCCAATTCTTAATTAAATCTCCCGGTTATATTGAGTACCTAACTCACATATTATGTGTGGTCTGGTTCCAATTTTAAAGTTTTTTTAAAAGTCAATTAACTGGAAATGATCAAAGTGGCAAACACTATCCTAAACATCAAGAATGTACAACTGAAGAACAAGGCAATAAGCTAACTTTAACCTAATGTGTAAAGTTGCTACATTTAGCATTTAGGGATTAAACCAAATGCTACCACAAGAGAGGTTAGGATTGAGGAATCAAATACAGAAGAGAAAAAAGCCAATGGAACACTCACTAGTAGAAATAATCTAAAATGAAGTGAAAATCAAAATCAACAAAAAAACTATGAACCAGAGACACTTTTTGGGGGGTGGGGGGCGGGAGGGGAAGGATTGGGGTCAGAATGGGGCGTTTGCAATTGTATGGGGGAATATAAAAATAAAATTTAATATTTAAAAAAAAAAAAAAATAAAAAAAAAAAAAAAAAAAAAAAAGAAATAATCTAAAATGTTTTATATTTTTTCTTTCCATAATTTTTGCAAATCCTCAGAGCTTTAAAGGCCTTGTATTTAGTTTCTCTACTTAGTCATTCTTAAAACATAACAATCATGGGTATACTTTATCATTCCATCATAACTAACACGGAAAAGGACAATTATTCCCTCTAAAGCAGTGGTTTTCCACAAGTGTATGTGAATTAGAGTCTCTCAGAAGAGCTTTTCTGCTACACTCCCATTTAGAATCACAGCATCCCAAGGAGAGGGGCTCACAGACAGATTTGTGCACACAAGATCTACGATCATGAGACTCCTTTCCATATGAACTGGCTTGTATATTCGAAAGTGAAATTGAGCAGAATAAAAAAGTTTATAAATAAAATTGTTATCAAGCAACTTAAAAATTGTTCTCTTGTATACCTGCATTAAGAACACCTACAGGCAGCAACAGCAAAATGACCACACTATCATAATAAGGATCCAAAAGGAAAGCTGAAATGCCTAGTGAGGTTGACAAACATTATGGAAGAAATCTGCCCTTCCTTCCAAATATTAGATTTAATTTAAAAAACAATTTCTGATAGATAATGAAAAGTCATTTTTACAAAGTCAGCAAAAAAATAACTGCTAAGGTTAATGAGAAAATTGGGAGCTAAAATTGGTTTATTTTTATTTTTTTAAAGATTTATTTATTTATGCATACAAGAGCTGGGGCACAGGCCAGAGATGCAGTGGGTGAGAGGATTCACCAGAAACAGAGCGGGGAACAGAACAGGCAGACTGACTGAAAAACACTGCTGAGGGGAATAGCGGGCGAGATAGGAGAGGTCTGCTGCGCCATGTGGGTTGCTCCCTGGCTGGCCAGGGATTGAACTCGTGCTGCAGAGGCTGCTTATTGCTTCATAGTGCGGTGCTTAACTACCCTTGCACCACCAGGGAGGCCCAGGAGCTAAAATTTTAATAGGAAAATCATAGCTATTTTCAAACTGGAGGTTTTATATATCTTTCCATTTAATAATTTTATAAATAAATATTCTTGGCAAAGAAAGAAAATGAAGAATCAGTATCACTGACTTTCATTGTCCTTATTTGTCATGCTTCTGGCAAACATCTGGCATTACAGAAATTATTCAAAAAAATTTTTTTAATTTTTTTTTATTTAAAAAAAAAATTTTTTTTAAGATTTATTTATTTATTTATTTATACAAGCACTGGGTACAGTCAAAAGCGCAGGAGGGTGAGAGAATCCACCAGAGCCAGAGCGGGGAGCAGAGCAGGCAGAAGGACCGAAGTACACTGCTGAGGGGAGCAGCAGGCAGCAGGAGAGGTCTGCGCGCCATGTGGGACCCTCTTTCAGTGGCCGGGGAGCAGCCGGGGATGGAACTGGTGCTGCAGAGGCCGCGGGCAGCTTCGCAACCCAGCGCTCAACCGCTGCGCCACCGGGGAGGCCCATTATTCAAAAATTTTTATGAAAATGAACTAATGAGAATAACATTCTTAGACATTAATATTGTTTTGTATTTTTTAGGGTCAGGTTTTAAGATAGTCACACTAAAGGTCATCAGTAACTGGTGAATACAACTTGTTTTTTGTGACACCTGTTTAAAATTTAGCTAAAAAACTAAGCAGCAAAAAGGAAAACTGTAATCCAAAGGAACATTAAATTAATTCCTTATTTCCAATTTGTACAGTGACTTTGCTTCAAACATCAGTATTTGTTTTCTGAAAGTGACAAATTTGAGGGAGAAAATAAAATGAGGTGACTAGGAATGGCAGACTGTGCCATGTTTCATCTTTAAGTATGTTTACAAATGCTGAAAAAGAAAGAAAATGGTTGAAGGGGATTAAAGTGCAGGGTGGGTAAATAGGGGAGGACTTTTATTTTAGCACAGCAATCACTAAAAATACTTGCATTCGTTAAACAGAAGAAAAATAGGAATCAATTAAATGCACCCATTCCTTAAGTAACAACCTCAGATTACTACTATCCCTCATTTAAATCAATCAATACCTGAAAATTCGAACTGAAACATTTCTAAGCCACAAATCTAGCATGTGCTTTCAGGCATGGAAAATCACCCAGTTTGTATATTCATATCACCACAGAATTAACAAAAAACATTTGCTCTAACTCCAAACCTCTGTGAGCAATCAAAAGCAAATGACAAGCTTGGAATAAACATTTGCCATTCATTTCACAGTCATGATATCCCATATCACAGGATCCTGCAAATTGTTTTTTTTTAAAAAACCAACAACCCAGTATAAAAAGGACAAAGAATGTAATGATAGTTCAAACAAACAAACAAAAAAATCTAAACAAAGGAAGTTCAATCTCCTCCTAAAATAAATGCAACATAAATTTACTGGGTAAAAAAATCATTGAGCTAGACATTAGAATAGGGTCAGTTATAGGATATGTAAAATGTGCCTCAATAAAGTTGTTAGAAAAAAAGAAATGCAGCGGATTGAGCACTGCCCTGTGAAGCTGTCTGCAGCCTCTGCAACTCGGGTTCAATTCCTGGCCGGCCAGGGAGATTCCCACATGGCACAGCAGACCTCTCCTGTCTCACCCCTGCTCCCCTCAGCAGTGTCTTCGGTCCTTCTGTCTGTTCTGCTCCCACTCTGTCTCTGGTGAATTCTCTCACCCTCCCGTGCTTCTGGCCTGTACCCCAGGTGCTTGTACAAATAAATAAATCTTAAAAAAAAAAAAAAAAAAAAAGAAAAAAAAGAAATGCAAATAAAAACCATAGTAAGCTAATGTCATAACAATGTGAGGACATTAGTGACAAGAGTATAAACTGGCACAAGCTATAGTGAGAAAAATCTGGCCAATCTAAATCATAAACATACAGCTTTTTGACTCAATAATTTCATTTCTAGGAAATTACATTATACTTAAATTCACATGTGTGCAAAATAATAACCATTCCATTATAGTCTTATTTAAAACAGTAAGACAGGAAATAAGTGTCTATTAATAAGACAGGAGTTGAATAAACTATGATTCATAACAGGATACAGTGGTGGTTATACTAGCATGTTGAAATAAAAGAATGAGGAATCTCCGTATATTGATAAGGGCCAATCTTCACAACAGATTAATAAGAGGAAGTATAGACAACACATTACAACATATATTTTAAAGGGGAAAGGGAAGAATGTATATATCCATTGTCTGGAGATATAAAATATCTCTGGAAGGATAGCCAAAGAGCAGTTAACACTAGCTGCCATAAAGAGGGAAACTAACTGATTGGAAATAAAAAAGCACTTTTCATCGTATCTACTTTTGTATCTTTTAAATTTTGTATAGATGACGTATTATCTATTCCTTAGGCAAGTAATATTAGACTAGCAAGGAAAAACTTAAAACTGCAGGATAAATTTAAAAATTTCTAACTTGTAGTTAGAAAAAGTTAGTGTAATACTATTCTAATTAAAAGGAAAAACACAATTTACGGGAAATCATTTACCTTCCTCTTCAAAATTAAACATGCATTTCAAAATATAATAAAAATAAAAAAAAGCATTTGAGTATTAGAATCACTTTATGAAAAAGATCTTAAAAAGAATTCCTACCTGGAACTCCCTGGTGGCACAGTGGGTTGAGCGCAGCGCTGTGAGGCTATCCCAGCCTCTGCAGCGCCGGTTCAATTCCCGGCAGGCCAGGGAGAGGCCCACATGGCGCAGGAGATCTCTCCCACTTCTCCCACTGCTCCCCTCAGCAGTGTTTTCGGTCCTTCTGCCTGTTCTGTTCCCTGCTCTGTCTCTGGTGAATTCTCTCACCCTCTTGAGCCTCTGGCCTGTACCCCAGTGCTTATATAAATAAATAAATCTTTAAAAAAAAAAAAAGTTCCTACCTTATCACTGTCTTTTTTCTGCTGAGTTATTTTGTATTCTTCACCTACTATCAAT